TAGTTTACACAATGATTTAACTTTTTTATTATTTTTTTGTTAAAACTAATAAAAATTTTATACAGTAGAATATTCTAAAATATTTTACAAAGTTTACAAGCAATTCAAAATAAAAACTAACTTTTTAAACTAAAAGTGAAATTAAATTATTAGTTAATAAGCTAACCATTAAATTAAACTCTCTCAAAATGTAACCTATGGGATAAATTTTCTCTAATTAAAATATTAATAAATTGTAAAAATAAATGGAATTTTAGATTTAATTATTAAATAATGAATGAAACAATTGAGAGTTACAATTGAATTTCATTTGCACATTATTTATATATGTAGGCAAGAAGCTAAGCATGACTATTTTTTTTTTTTTTTGCCCCTCATTAATAAATCTTTAGAACTAAAATTGATTTAAAGCATATTTAAAATTTTGTCCTTATCTAATTCATAAATAAATTTCATTTCAGCTTTACAGGTCCTTCCTCTCATAATTAGATCAATACAAAAAATTATACTTGCTCACATTAGAAAATACAAGGATATTAATGTTGAAAATATACAACTTAACTTTTTTGCCCTTTTAATTTTTTATTTGATTTTGGGATGAGTTGGGAGAAATTTGGAAAATGATGTTCAATGGATTTCTTGAAAGATGAAAACCATGATGGGGTTTTGGAATGTCTGCTAATAGGATTGATACCTTTTTTTTCTGTTTTAAATTTTTTAGTAAAGCTTGTTTAACTGCAGGGATTAATTTTATTTAAAATTTGAAAAGTGTATACACTACTATGATTTAACTATTTCCTTTGATTGCCATGATCAGATTTTTAAACTAGTATGGAAAGCAATAACAAAGGATTAATTTGCTTATATCCCAAAGTTAAGGGGCTTGTAAGGATAAAAATAGTTTAGCGGGTTTACGTGCGAAAATGGGTTAGTTTGGCGGCTTATGTCGTAGTTTGTGAATGCAATACTTTAGTTTTTATTTTTTTTATCTTTTTATTATCCAAAAATATAAAAGATATTAATTCAAAAATATATAATATTAACATTTACATGCTGGACAGTGAAAAAATTAGCAGGAAATTTTTGAAACCAAGATTTGAAACTAATGATATAATATAAATTATATTATTAAA